ATATTCTACATGTGTGACGGATCAGCACGCAGACATATTGGACACTGGCGTCAGCCAATCCTGTGTCTCTCTGCGTTCCAATGGCGCGCGAGGAAGAGATACAGCCTACCAGATAAGGACACGAATGAGAAGCAGTAAATAATGAGCGGCGTGGCCAGCGTGGTGGACTCGGATGGAGTGCTTGTAATTTGTCAAAAAGCCTTTTCTTTTGTAGGTCTTCTTCGTACTAGGGCTCGGGTATCCTACCCTGGTGCTAATCCTCTAATTGCCACAACTATGTAAAATCGCAGCAAACTAAGCAAATCATCCGTCAGAATGAGTTCGATTGATCATAGTTGAAGAAGGGCAGCCAACCAGAGAAAACGAGAAGAACTTTAAAGTGGATGGCGGATCGGGTTGGGATGACTAGGATAGGCGGAAACTAACGGCCGGTTTTACCTTGCGTAAATGAGTTAAGCATGGACTGTTGAACCTGTTGAGACATCATATGTCATTAATTACCCAGCAAAGATGAAGTCGAAGGACGGACAGAGAGGCAACCGTTTATTCGAGAACTTGACGAAGCCGTGGTTGTCTGTGGGGTTTGCGCGTGTGTATTTATGCCTCGATTGTGTGCCATAAATGAGCTAACATCGAGACCTAGGCATGAGGATAATCCAAGATAAATATTCGTGTGAATGAAGTGTGAGTTAAGGATTCGCGCGGCTGGCGCCATGCTGCGAAAAAGGGGAACCCTGTGTCGGAGGCAGAGCGATCAGATTAATGGGTTGAATAAACACGATTCACAACAAACCCGCTTCTTTTATGCTTGAGCTCGAGCATTTTATATTAGTTGCAGCGGGAGCGTTCCGATGACAAAATTTTAAACCCAGTCCTTTCTTTATACAAAAATGGAGAACAAATTCAAACGCTAATAATGATAATTGTAATTTTTAGACATGCGAACATCATGAGAAGTTTGCCGAGGCTATCCACCCAATGCTTCATCCACTAGAATCATAGACATTCCCCGGGATTAGAACAGCTGCATGTTAAGGCGCCTCAGCATGACAGCGAAGACAGTAGTGGCATTACAAACCAGTTAAAATGCAAATTGAGAGGGTACCTGTTGTGGATTGTGCAGTCTTCCTAAAGGTCAATAGTCCAATATCCACTGAGCGCTTGGCTAACTCGTCCGCCAAATGAGAGGCATCGGAAAACGTCGAACTGGCACCTTGATTATTGATGCACTGTGACAGCGGAAGAAACCAAGCTGAAAGAAGAAGGCAAGTTTACTTATGATGCGAAAGAGAAATACCGAAATAGGGCGCACACATATTGGATCCCGCCGAGTTTAGTTAATGCTTTGTCTTCATTCGGTTGAAATGCCCATTACGAACATCAACACACAGCTCTACTTAAGATGCAGTGGAGCCAGTATGGAAGGCTTGGGAGGACGGTGCCTGTCGGACGGTACGTGCTTGTAGTATGTCAATACAGCCTGCTCAATTTCACGGGTCTTCATCATAATACTGCTAGGTTGTTCCATACAAATTACCAATTCTGACTTATACTTAAAAAATTTTCACAGCAACTTTAGTAATTTATTTTAGAAACAATATTGCAATTCTTTTTCTTGATGGCTTGTGCACCAGAACACATGCTCCTACATGCTTCACTTAAGGCAACTACGCATTTTAGAATATTTTTTCCATTTTGTCTTAGCCAACAACCAACTTGAATGAATTGACATTAGTACTTCTGCCATATACTACAAAGAAATTATGACCATCCTGTTCATGGCTTAGATATCTTGATTTAACTATGCTTACTAGCAACTACATCAGAAAATCTTCTAGATTTTGCTATCCATGCATGGTAAGTCTGATGCTGCATTCAAAACTTGATGCATTAAACTGGATGAACTGATTTACACACAGCATGACTAATAATTCAGCTACATTTTCCACACGGGCCTTGATCTTTTTTAATAAATTAACAATTAGGACTGCGATTATTTATTTTTTCCCTCTTTATGAAAGTCAAGAAAACTTCCTCGTTGTTGCCTTGGTTTGGTTTCGTGTCTTTAACAAAATAAAGTATCCGCCTAACGAAAAAGGCCATAAATTCATGTAATTACCAAGATATAGTAAAATAATTTATGTTTCCTCATTTAAAGTTGAACAGATTTCTTTAAAGGTCATTGAAAGCCTCGGCGTGTGGTCCTGAAGCACGCCTGTCTCTGCGTTGTATTGGCTTGATTATGCTACTCTGGTACCCGGGAAGTTCAAGAACAACGAACGCAACTGAGGAAACCTTTTTTACATGGCCCAGCCTAGTTGTGAGTGTTGAGCCTCTCTCCGTCAAGAGTCTTGTTTGACTAATGGGGTTGTTTACCTTTGCGGATTCGATGAATTTGTAATGTTACAAATGGCCGAATGGCCAGATGATTTAAAGGAGTAGCAGAGGTGGTACAAGCACATAGGCATATGGGCAGAAGTTCTCGAATGGCTAAGAAGCTCGCTGCAGAAAAGGAGACAGTGTGCTGAAGAGTGCGATCACCGAGTTTGTGGACGTAAATCAGCATGATCCACTAAAAGTATTTCAATTAAAAAACCAAATGAGAAAATTCGGTTAGTGGATTCGAAACGGACAGCGGCCGTCGCATTGTACCGGCCCAACTACGCAATGCAGATACCCACGAAGACTAAGAAGACGGGAGAAGGCGGAGACAGAATCGTTTACGAGATAGTTTAAACTGGTTGTATCGTTGTCGTATATGTGCATTCGAATTCGTTGACCAATGCTGTTTAAGTGAACTGGTAGAATTATATTTTACAGAATGGGTAAATGAGGACAATGAGCAGCAATGGGTTAACGCACGGATTGTGTAATCAGGTTCCCGGGGGTGCTCAATAGGGGACGCTGCGAAATCCCGACGATGTGCTGGAGTGTGCGGAGACAGAGTTAATGGACGTAAATCAACAAGATTCACTACACAACAAAGGGGAGAATCACTTTCCATCAAATCCCAGTAACCTCGTTCTCCAGCAGCCAGTACGAGAGCTAGTCACAAGCAGGGGAGTTTAGAGAAGCTTCAGGACTTCTACTTTTATTCCTTTCGAATCTTTCATATTTCCCGCTTGGTGTCGATAAATGGCGTTCAGAGTTTGAATAAAAATCAAAATGATGACATGAATTTTAACATAATTGACAATAATTTCGTCAGATATAAGTCAATCAGCCTTTTAATTGAGGAGGCATCTGCAAGAGCTTCGTGGTTGAACATCTATCATCGAATTGTTAAGCCACTACAACTCGAACATCATTTTTGGTATTAGCTTATGATCTCGGGTTTTACGTATATAACCGTTTTCGACCGCAACGCCTGCAAAAAAGTTTGTTTATTTCTCAACTACAATATTTGACCTGTCACGTACGTAAACTATGAATACACAAGCCAAACGCTTAGAAGATGCTATACAGGTTAGGGTGACAGGGCTAATCCTTGACTCTGTCAAGCACTAAAAGAGTGCAACTGAGTTACTTGTCGTTTGAGGGGGGCAACTCAAAGAGCAGACGTAACAGTCAGGTAGCACCTATCTTCCAAAGCATCTCAGTTATTTGTCTGTAGCTGCTCCCAATTCGAATTTAATTTAAAGGCCGCTTTAATATCCTGAGCTTGTTCAATTTTCGTCATCTTCAAGTTCAGCACAAAAGCAAGAACACAAAACCAGACGAAAGAGTGCGTAATTACTCATTGAGAAGCGCGATTGTCATACCTACCCTGCAGCACCTTTTAGTTGTAAGCTATTTAATGTGAAGCCAACGAGGACAACACGGGACATAAAAATTTAAACAAAATGTTTAGCTGGGTGCAGTTAACAGTGCACGTGGCTGCGCATTTTGTCGATCCCCCAGCTTTGGGGGAATTCGTCTACGAGACTACACGTAGATCACTCGAGCATCTCAGCTATTCACTATTACATTGAGACCCACGAGGCCAAATACTCCATGTGTAAATCCGTCAATCGCGTTCTATCGCTGGTTTTGCGTTGTAATAATACCTTTCAACACGTCAGATATCAGTTTACTGCAATATAGAAACTATGTTACTGGATAAGAAGTCAAATTCTTTATTTTAAACTAACGCCTCCCGAGACTTCTCAGTCAGACATGCAACAATAGAAAGTAACAGTAAATGGAAAAAGTGCATCGGTGTCTTCAAAATGAGCTAGACGACGACTACCAAGCCTACCCCGAATCCCCCAAATTCCAACAAGCATTGGTATTAACAAGGAATCAGTACTACAAACTTGTTCAATTCATTAGGAAACCAGTAGAAGTATGTGATTTCTCAAAAAGTCGCAGAAATTAGCCAGTGTATAAATCAGGAAAAGCTTATATTACTGACAAACACGAAACACCACCTATTAGACAGGTTCGTCAATGCCATTAAAATTAGTGTACAAATAGGCATGAATGGTATGGACAGTTAGTGGAATTGTGAGTAATTGGCGGCTGTCATGGGGTTATTATGCGTAGGTTTGTTTTTGACTCAAGCGCAGCCTCACTGACAAGACATGTGTTGTCGTGGCGGTAACGGCGGTGTCTGTGTCACGGTGTCTGAATGAGCGTCAAAAAACTGTCTTGGGTGGGAGGTCGACGACGCAGGGGGAGAAAGCGCGACCACAACCGCCGTCATCGTAGGCGTCCGCTGTCCCGGTTTGGGTGGGAGGGGAGGCAGGCTCCCGTCCGCGATCTCGATCGACTGTTGTGGGGGCGGCGGTGGAGCCATCAAAGGAAAAAGCGGACTGGGACTGTGTGATGCCGATGTGGGAGACGAAGGAGCACAATTGCTTTGACGCCGCGGTGGGGGCAGTGGAGGTGGTGCGGCGATCGGAGATGTTGGGGGAGGCGGTGGACGACGGCGGACAGAACCCTCCGATAGGGGTGGTGGAGGTAAGGCAGGAATGTCGTGCAGATTTTCGCCTGACCCAGATGAACCGCATGAAACCAGACGACTGTTGCTCAAGTTCTCCATTTGGCTATCAGAAATGCTATGACAATGAAGCACTAAAACGAAATGCGAAAAGAAAAATTATCCAAATGCTTTGGCTTAAATTAGGGTATTTCCAGGATGAGTACTTAATAGCGATGGGTATCCGTGAATGTTAAAAACGAGGAGCGAAATCAAAACGATAACAAAGTGGGGAAGACACTGAAAAATATTTGGAGGGGCAGAGGAATGTAAGACGAAGACTGCAAGAAAGTGAGGAGAAATAGATTGGAATTTGCATTGATTGCGAACCACTGAGGTTGACGTGGCGGAGTAGTTGAGCCAGGTGTTTATTTTTACGCATTAAAATTACGACTAAGGGCTATCGTGCAAGTGGGAGAGAGGGAAGGAGAACCTTCAGTGGCGGGACCAGCGGATGGCGAGGAGAAGGGCCGGACGGTCGAGGAGGTGCCGAACGTTTGGTGCTGCTGGCCGGCGCGGTGCTGCTGGAGGCGAGTGGTCCACAGCGCAACCACACGCTGCTCCGGGGATGCCGAGTCTGAAGGGAGTGGTGAAGGCGTCGGGGGACAAGACAGTCGCGGAGAAGACGCCCTCCGGTCGAACTTTCTCTGGCGTGGACAAAGATGCGCCTTGTACGAAGCCACGTGGTCGTGCGACAGCTTTTCTCGCAGTGGAAGACCCGCCAAGTAGCTGGCCGCCTGAATCGCCTCCTTTCCCAACCGTCGCTCCTATAAACAAGCAACAAAATTGTGTACAGTGAAAAGACACCCCCCATCAGCACCGTCGATTAGCTTCTTTTGAATTTCCTGCCACTAAATAAAAGGGTACTGATGTGATTAGTTCACACAGAATTTACCTATAGACTTCACCTCTGATTTTAAATTATATAATCAGAATTTTTGTCTCAAGCGATACTTCCGTTCAGCAACCTTTTGTTTCAGTGGTTTATAACAAGGCAGAATACATGTCAAATCAACAAAGCAGAAACTAGTACAAAGGGCAACGTGTAAAGTGCTAATTCCTTAATTATATTAAAGGTATAGATACATGCCATGGATTTTGTAAAGTTTTACCTTAGAGCTCTAGACCAATAAAAGTCAGTTCTTATAAAAGGGTTTTTATCAGTCAGGCAACAATGCGCATCAAAAGTTAACGCGAGTGTTAGCGTTTTTGGATAAATGACAACTATTTGTTTCATTAATTTGGGGAAGAGTAGTTTGCGACGCAGCACAATAATGGCCAAATTCCGACAAGCTCATGAACACAAATGCGCCAGCACTTCTGTCCCATTTAAGGCCCCATGATCGAACCCCAAGTGCGCTCGCGTGAAAAATCAAAGTACGGTGTTTGTTGACCGGACATTACAAATATCTGGTGGTGCCGATCCCAAAACGGAAAAACACAGAAGACCGATGAAGCGAGAATCTTGCGCAAAAATCAGCGCTGAATTAGAGCCACTGTATCAGCCAATGAAACCAGACCACGGGCTCGTACAAAAACAATCCAACAAACAAAGATACTCCATCTGCGCCACACAAGTCGCTTGTGTGTGTTTACCAAGAGCAGCTGCACGAAAGCGAAACAACAGGAGCGCAATCAACTTCGCACGTGCAATTTTGTTGGCCCTTTTCCCTGCCTTCTCATGTCCACAGACAAATATGCGCGTGATGGTCATACTGACGGTGCGAATTTCGTGACAAAAGCAGATAATGGTTATGATACCTGAAGAGCCCCGAGCACCCCGTGTTGAGGACAAATAAGGGCGGTAACGTTACCATGGCCACTTCACACGTTTACAGGCAATAAATGCAAATGCTAGAACAACAAACCAGTCGTAATAATAGACTGGCCTTCAGTAGCATCGCATTTAAACAACACGAGGAAAATTCACATAGTTTTGCTAATTACGGGGTTTATTGATACCCGAATCGAAACACAACTACAAAATGAACCTTTTATTTTGGTTGTCAACGTAATAAGGTAAAGTTGCTTACACTTACCTAGTGCACTCGTCAATAAGGTCTCGTTTTGTTCTTAGTACGTTAGGTTACATTCGCATGACCCATTGTCAAACAATTCGGTTCCAATTCTTCCTAACAAACAACCAAGATTCCATTGCCGATAGCTGAACTGCACAACACATTAACACGCGGCAACGAAATACGTGGGAGCACTAATTTAAACCAATTGGTTTGCCTACAGCAGGCGAACGCATGCACATGGTGAACAGTACTTACTAAGCGCTGCTTCTAACACAACAAACGTGTCCAGGAACTCTGAATACGCTCTATCAAGTGGAGGCTTTGCTAATTATTCATTTCTAGGGACAAATATTGGTAAAAAACAGCTATGCTTTAAAATAAAATTAGGTATAGCGTCTAGGTGGAGTTTTATTACAATATCACTAGAATTGGCACCGCAGTACAACAAGAATTCACCTGCACGAGATATCTTGCAGCACAGGCAACAAGTTTCCTGTCACTGCGCGGGAAATCAGTACAACAGATATGATGGTGTGGCTGCTGCACGTTAATGCAATGGTAATTTGACCCGGTAAATAGTACTTAAGTAGGAGCGTTACCAATTTACAGAGTGCAAAAGTATCAGCCATTAATTTTGATTCCTACTACAAAAGGGACGCCACAAGAGACGACAAGATGGGCACTCCGGTTAACCAAGCATGAATACGCCTTGCTGGATAGTAGCTTTTTCCAGCAGGGCACGAGTTGAACGTTTGAGATTTGATTCGTTGACTAGAAGGTGAAGGATGACGTTAAAGAATTCCCAGTCGAAGTTAGCGTGATTTTCAGGTAACAAGTCGGTGGGCATCTTAACAAAGAGTTGAGTGTAGAGAGACTTACACAAACATAGCAGTAAATTAGACGGATTACCGCAACCACGCAGGTAGTTGGATCTCAGTCAGAATGAATTTTAAGAAGCAGAAGTGAAACGAACAGGAAAGCTCTCAAATTCAAAGGTAACAATAAACGTAGAAAAGATTGCGGCTACGAAAATAAATACTGAAGTTAACTCACCACTTCCTGTGTGGGATGGAGAGGCTCTGAGGAGGTCTCTCGCGGTTCATAGACCTCTGAGAGCGCGAACATCCTAGCTTCGAAATCTCTTTCATCGGCTTCAAAAATGTCGAGGGATGCAGCAAGGGCCCGTTGCAGTTTCGGGTTCGTGGGGAAGGCGTAGGGTATGCGCTGATGACACAGAAAGTTCTCAACAATCTCTGCTAGTCGGCGCTGCTTGGAGAAGTTTATAAGAACGTCGGCGCTATCATCGGGGGCACCGTCGATGTTAACTCGGTCTGGGTGTCGTACCTCAAGGTGTATGAGGGGCGTGATGACACCCCTGGCAATGTAGGGAACGCAAGGCGACAGGGAAGATGCTGGTGTGGGCATGTGATGCGTGTCACCACTATCTGGGGCGCGACACGATTTTGTTGACCGCCGAGCCAGGCCTTGACCCTCGAAACGCAGGCGCCGAACCAAATCACGGTAAGTACGGACACGACTGACAGCCTGACGAAGTAAAACCGACAGAAGCACACGTAAGCTCACCCCGGTTAGCCTTGGGCTTAAGAGGTTATGGTGAACCAAGGATGGCAACCAGTTAAGTAGACCGCATAGAGTAAACGAAGAACGATTGCCATAAGCCCTGATATCTTAAGAGATCTAACCAAAAAATATACGGAAATAAATGCCCTCAAGTCTTACACAACTTTAGCTACGATATGGGCCAGGTTAAAGTACATTTAAAATAAAGAAGACGCGTGTTTAGGAAAATAAAACGGTAAATAGACGAAATCAATTCATCAGTGTAACAACACAACCTTTGCCAAAAGGCCAGAGGTGTTAAATAAATTTCTTTATTTGTTTTCGTGAGATTTCACAGAAATCGGATACAATCTTTGTAAAAAAATATAGTAAAAGCAAATAATTGATTATCTTTATTGATAACCGATTAATCTAACTACATACCCAAGAAAGGGGGAGGCCTAGACCTAAAAATTGTATAAACCTGTGGGTAGATGGAATTGGTTTTAATGGAAAGGGCTTGAGACACTGCTAATTAAAAAGTCTTGAAAACGCACCAAAGTTAAGTAAAGAGGAGAAAGAAAAGCCGTAATTTGAATGCACCAGAGATTTCCCTATGTTTTTATCATACACGTAATCGCCTGCGTCTAACAAGTTTCCATTCCAGCTTAGGTAACACAGAACGGACTCGTTATAATGATGATTAAAATGAAAGAAAATTAATAAAGTCAAAGTACAACGGAGGCTGGTGCCGAAAGGAGCAAAATTCTTTTCTGTTAGCGAGAATACCCGCCTCAAGATGGGCTGAAGTGAAACGACTTCACGGAGCAGGTGAGCAAGAAAAGAAATCGGAGGAGCTAAACACGGAAACACACACGCACACGTGTGTACACGCATTAGCGAGGCAGAAAAATAATTATAGCCATCAGAGAGTTTCACCACAATTGTTAGGGTGCCACTGAAGTGGTGCATGAAGAAACGCGTGCTTTTATGCAGACACTTTTTAGTAAAACAGCATTTACAGAAAGACCAAATCAGGAGGATTAGATCAGCTTACGCCCAGAGGTATTTTGTGGACGAGGCCAAGTGACACGGTTCAGACATAGAATTCGAGCTATGCCATGGATGCTTTAATATTTTGCATTTGAGATAACTCAATCCGTTATACATACGATTGGGGACCCATGTTACAAGTATCTGTGCGCGGCACAAGTCGTAACAGACAGCTAGCAACCAACCAACAGGACATCAGAGGTGCAGGCGGAAGGACCTAGTTCAGGACTCGGCTGAAAATTTCTCGATGTCTAAGTTGGAGATAATGTTTTCGGGGTCACTTAGCTTCAGTATATTAAAATAAACCAAGTCTCACAAGTTACTTTGAAAGAGATTCGCTAGTCTAACGGCTTTCCTCATTGACCACCACCACGCTTAAATCCTGATTTTGGCAATCAAGCGGAAATTCAAACTGGCTCTGAAAAATTACGATGCTAATTCTACCCCTCAAAGAGTTCCAGAAGCCCACACATATTTTGATGGATAATGACTTCAATTTTCAGGCATAGTCGAAATGTATTTCACGAAATAGTAAAAAAATGACTTAGTTAATTTTGTGACGATTTAAAAAGTACGTACGATCGGGGAAACGCCCAGGTGTAGCACATAATTAAAAAAAAACATTTTTGTACGTAATATTGGTTATTGTCGACACATACTATCGTAGTCTAATGATTGTATGCTGAATCACAAACCTGAAAAGCCTTCTTTAGCCGAAAGACGGAAGCTGAGAAGAGAGCAGCCTTGGCCTCCTGGTAGCCCTGGAGATTTCGGTGGTGCTCGAAAATGAGCATCAGATCGATAACGCGCTGAATTGCGACCACACGGTCCTCTGGGTGACGCTCCGATAGGATAGAATGGACCAACCAATTTCGAAACTAAAAACAAGTGAAAAGCGCCACCGTCACAGGCTACTAAATGTTCTTGAAAATTTTGCCAAAATACGACAGGCAATTTTTCATAGACTTAGGCGACTTCGGCAGTAAGGCATACAGTGGCACATATTGACTAGATCATATTGTTAAAAAAAAGTCGCCGATTACCATGCTGCGCACTACAGTGAAGTATTTTAGAATGAGTCAACTGCGCCAGTAGCCATGACTAAAAATAGTTCTTAATTTAGAGTGACCTTCAGCGCGGGTTGGTAAACAGGCGCAAGCACAGCCTAATACGTTCCACGCAAAGCTAGAAAGAGGGCGCCTCAAAATTACGCGCACACAATTGTACTCGAACCTTATTAGAGAACTCTTTGTAGGCGGTGAGATTTGGTGAATCCTGCGGAGACCGATTGCGTCCATCCACCTCCCAGAACTTGATACGTCGATAAAACTCGAACTCGCGCAGAGTGACTTGCTCGGCCAATTCGAGGGGATGTATCTAGAAAGGTAATTTGCATGGGAATACTCATTCAAGACCTCAGGCAAATTATGTGTTTCTGTTTCAAGTTAAAAACACGGTCCGCCAAATTTAACGCGGGACCAGCAATCGCGTAAACGCCTTCTTATTTCCGCTTTAGTTCGTGTCGTGAAGCCATTGTCTTACGCTACAGAGAAAGAAGGTTAGTTTCCCAAGTTAGCACGAGAATTGAGTGGCTCAGATTAAAGCCACGAAGTGACAGCGGGGTTAGACCGTGTGTACGATGTAGTGTCAAACCGACAATCAAATAACACGGATAGAAAACCAAAAATGAACTCAGATAAGACACGGTCACCTGCGACCCGACAACAACACAAGGGGAGCCATCACGCACAAAACATGTGTTGATTCACACCTTATTTGTCCAAACGGGGGGATTAGTTTGCACAAGAAACCACATGCCAGTCGGCAGCTCCAGGGTACTAGCACAAGTGCCCTCAGTTAATATTGTAAACTATTAGTGACATTATAAGCGCCTTAAAAAAACGAGTGCAGTACGGGTGACGAGGATATTTGCTGGGGCAAATAGGTGGGCTAAGCCATCACCAAAGCCTTCTGGACTTGCACGCACAATGCGTAAACTTGGTAGATCCTGTTTCGGATTAGGCACGCATTGTGCGCAAAAGCCTCCCGCGTGCTTGTGTCCATTGCAGCAGCACAGCACACGGGAGGCACAGAAATGTGTTTCCCACGCCATCTGGAGTGCCAGCTGATGAAGGACCGTTGATTGCAGTGGCGCAGAAAATTGTGCTACAAACTTGCTGCCCGGTCTAAGTACGTCGAAACTCGTGAGAGCTAAATACCCAGCATCAACAAAGGGGGCGGAAAAACGAAGGGTTCCACTTCGAGATGTCCAAAGGAATAAAAGATTTAATTACCACAATTTATATAAGGCCAAGGCACTATAAGTGAAAAAAAGAGCGATGTCGAGAAATGTTGAGGCGATTCGATGACTGACCAAATGCTTCAGAGGTCACGTCAGCAGTCCGGAGGAAAGGGTCGAACCCATAAATTGTCGCAGCAAACTCTCAAACACCAACTTAAGGATCGAGCATCCTCGATCCAGCATTAAATGTGGGCGCTTACTTGCAACTTCAAATTCCCATTCCTTGATTTGTTTATTGAGTGCGCAGTGTAATCTTTTTTACTTTGACCTTTATCAAACAACAAGTGCTTTTTAGGCGTTGTAAATGTCGCGGTTTTATATGATGTTAAGATTCAGTAAAAACGTATGCACAAAACGTAGCACGCAATTGAAGGAACTATTGACTTTTAAAAGCATATTCCATCAACTGACAGCTTATGCGTGAACAACAAAGATGACGAGAAAGTGTTCACTGCTGTATCGTGGGTCTTACCACGACGAGAAGTGGCCTAAATATGGAAGAAAGTTTCTGCTTGAGGCTAGAACAATGCTTTTACATTTTATGCAAGGTATCACCCTTTCCATTAACCGATAAGTTAACTTACAATGAGGAACTGGAAGCAAAGGCTGGGATTGTAGATACGCGCCAAGTGAATGGCAAAAGGGAAATGTACTCGTAGAAATAAATACAACCACTGATCCGTCGGAAGCGGATTCACTTAGCATGATTTACAGCATAGCAATCCAAGGTCGTTCATCTCCAACTGTAGTTTGGTCGAGAAAATGAGCCAAATCAACATCAATTCCAGAGAGTGGGCCAAAAAATGAAATAAAGACAAATGTGTGCAACAATTACTACTGATAAGAAAAAATGAAAAAATGACAATTGAAAAATGAGGCCAATACAAAGATGACTGGAGGTGCTTCAAATCTCAACGTGTTCAATCTCAAGGGAATAGAACTGTGGAGTTTTTATAGAATTGAATTTCGACGACATGTCAGTTTGTTCGTGAGGCAGCTCCGCATTGAATACCTACAAACGAGATCACGATTCGCTATGGTACTAAGTGATAACAGAGAAAGAATAAACCCCTAGACTGGGAAAGGCTCACTTTCCTCAAAAGAAAAGAAATGTGCTGATAAGGAAATCCTTTGGCAATATTCCTGATGGCAGTTGTCCAGTAAGAAAAACAGTATGCAAAATGAGATTATAGTGCACCAGAGAACTTAGTGCTGAGCAAGTTTAATCCCAACAAAATTAACTAGAAAGAGGCTCAACCTAATGAAGTTACTCTAATTTCCCAGTCAAGAGCATTAAACTCGTACCTGGAGCAAATCAATCTGAGGCTGTTGGGTTTCAGACGGCGATGGAGAGAGTGGAGGCGTCGCAGACGCAGAATGTTCGGTGGTGGCCTCCGCTAAGTTAAGAGGGAGGGGGTGCTGCTGCGCTCCACATCTGACCTCAGGCCTCAAAGTTAAAGGCTCCGGAGTGGTGACATCAACCCTGGCAAGACGATGTTCGATGGCTTGAACTGCTGGTAATAAGCAACGAACACTCACACTCGCCAGAAAGGTTGCAAGTCGAGCGCGTAAGGCTGCATTAGGTGCAAAATCATAGGCAAAGTATCGAGGTGATCGAGCCCACAGTGAGAGAAAGGTGATGACTCTCGCTTGGACTCGCCTTTTATAGCCCGAACGGAAGCGACGCATCATACGCTCTACCACACCCTCTGCCTCACATTCCTCCGCAGAAAATTCAGGATTGGGGACATTAAAACGTTCCACGAGAAGGTCCAGCAATTGCTCTGGAGTAATGAACCGCCGGTATGTGAGAAGAAAGGCGTTTACACCTACAGCATCAAAGTAGGTAGGATAGGTGAGTCGCTCAATGAGTTTCTCAAGAGTGGCGAACTGAATCTGAGGTCGGTGGGGTCCAGGGTGTGTGGGAGGGTTCGGCCCCGTCGCTGGTGTGATGACTTGAGGACTGAGATGGGGTGAGTGGATGCGCGAGGATGTGGAAGCAGGAAGGGGGAAAGAAGGGGTTTCGTCGAATGCAACACCACCGAAGGACTCATCGTCGGTGGGGCTCCGCGAAAAGAGATCAACATCAACCACTTCGACGTCGTCTTCTAGATCATCCGTGGGTACAACAACGACGTCGAGGGAGTCTAGGTGATCATCAGCAGATGTTGCCGTGAAGGAAGAGCGAATTTTGGGAGAGGGTGGAGGTTGAAGTAGGCGCAGATTAGTGCTACTACTACTGGAGAGCTCCTTTCCAGTTGGTGGTTCGAAAACAATAACGAACGGGGTGTCGGGTTGAGAGAATCTGTGAAACAAAGAAGATGCGGCACTATTTATTACACACACCAACCAAGGCTATGGCCAACTACCGAGCCAAAAGTTTGTTCGGTCGTCATCAGGACCAGTAGTAGAGAATAAGGCCAACGTTTTGATTGCGTTTGGTAAAACAAAAGAATCAACAATTACGCAAATATACTTGGGTGTGCGGCTGAAGAAGCGCTGGTGAAAAGGACAAAATAAAATTTAACCCCCCTCAAAAGATTACCAACAACATCAAAGGATCCTTGTAAAATTTTTAAATGGTAAAATACCTTGTCCAAACACCAAAGGAAAAACAAAGCACAATTACCGATATTTCTCGGGTGGAGGAAGCCTCAAAGGGATTTCCAGCTTTGGTAAAGTTCGGAGATATCGTTCGTATATGCTAAAAGTGCAATGCTACTTTATGGACCACGGATCATAATTAGTGAATCAAGATAGTCAAAACAGAAAAGAAGGCTTATATTCTATTACAAATTGCAAACTTTTTACTAACCTGAGGAGTACAAAATAAGCTACAAGTATTGTTTCCTAAGTAGGAAGTTACTATAAGTAATGGACGGATATTAAAGGGAAATCAATTGTTGCAAAATTAGAGGTGTTCTCCGTATTATGCCAAGAAATGGGGGGGAGGGTTCAACTGTTTAGAAAATTTATTGAATAAAAGCGAGAACAGTAAATCTACGTCATAAAACGCTCCTAACTGCCTGCTCCATTGTAGTTTAAAATAGTATAATGTACACACCGTGAAGTTGAGATACTTAAAAGTGAGGCCATCCAATCAGCTTTCTCTTCAGGGGACTGAGCCTCCAAATGGAGACAATGGAACTGTACTCCAAGTGGCGGATCATCAACATTGAGAAGCAGATGGTTAGAAAGTGCACCGGGAGCAGTAGAACAACCGATGCCGCTGTCGCCACTACCATAACCTTCCGGGGTAGCAGAGAGCTGACGTTGGTTCGTGTCAAGGAATTCGAGAATGAAAGAATACTGATCCAACCCATCCAAGGCTGCCTGTTGGTTGGAATCTAAACGAAAATCAGAACGGATTACAGCGTTACGAAGTATGGGATACAGTCTAGTGTCTACAAAAGGACCGGCATTCGGGGCGAGGCGCTCATTTAATGAAATGATAAAACGGAAATTTAAGTAGATTAGTTATGGCCTTACTGCTACAACTTTATATCAAAAAGGGTGATTCAAATCTAGAGTCGCATGCCTGCATGAACACAGGCACAAAGGAGGAAAATGAATCACAATTATGCCTCTAGATTGCAACTTGTACCCGAGATTTAATTACGGTGAACCGTGTGGCACTGAGGTGTGAACAATAGTAAGTCGCGAAGCCGGCAACTGAAAGTCCATAAACTCATTGTGGATTTCGTCCTGACTTATCCGTCCCTTGTGTGTTTGTTGGTTCAGCCGATTGCAATTGGTCGAAAACCACACAACCGCACAACACCACACACAACTTGGTTAGCGGTTGTCTCCTGCTTCAGGCCATATCACCCTTCTCGGGACACCTAGCATCAACAAAGCGATCACTCGAGTCCCACATCGGTAGGAGTCTGGACGTGTCATCTGAACGGTAGGAGTCTAGATGACACGTCCATCGGGGCTCCTACCGCTGGGACTCAACCCCGTTCTTCCATGAAACCCGACAACTACCGGTGTCCATTGCTTAGAAATCGGAACCAAAACGAGAGGGTGAGGTTTGATTCATTTCAAGTTCACAAATTTCTGGAAATTGTCTATCACATGTACTTCGAAAAACTTAGAATACACAGCAGCCTCAGGGTCTGCGTCCACTGCATTGCGAAATCCTAACGATAACCTAGAAAGCAAGACCACAAACATGTCTAGTAGGGCAAACATTCACTTCGATTTACGGTCCATGAAGAGTTCACAAAGCATCAATGTGTAAACACTGACCTGTGACTGTTCTAGGTGCACAAACACCACCAGTGGCGCATTCGGCGAAAGAATTACTAGGGTGTGCATACGAATCGAACTGCGGTTGGTTGGAGGTAGTCAAGTCAACGACATGGATGGCCTCCAGTGGAAGACGGCGCTTGACTCGCAACAGCGGCTGCGCACCCACAACACCCACCACGGAGGGCGCCAACGTGGATCTACGCTCGAGGCGTTTACAGAGAACGAGGCAATTTGTGAAGAGGTAGGCCTGACGCTCGGAAGCCGCTCGCTTACCCTCATCCTTTACCATTAGACGGCCTTCTGTAAAATTAAAATTCAATGACTTAGTAAACACTTGTGTCTGGTTCATAGACCGAGTTGAAAACAAAGCATTGAAGGTAAACAATTGAACGAAGTCAACACAACTTTAAAAATGTAAACAGTTTCATTATATACATAATGCAAGGAACTAGACAGCAAAGACTTCAAGCCGAAGACTACGAGGACACAGTGACTGCAATCGCATCTGGAAGCCTAAGAATACACACTTGTGAAGGTTACTTAATGATCTCCTAGGAACGACTTTTTAGTCTAGATGACACGTCCACCCCAACGAGTGAATAAATGCATTGCCCATTCAGTGCCATTATCGAAGTAATAAGGTGCATAAAAATATTTAGTAGACGAGACTTGACCTGCCATAGTTTTATACCACAAAGGGCATCCAATCGCGGAGTGAATAATGCTGATGGTTGAAACGAAATAAATAACGAAATAGTCACTGCCTATCGTGTGCCAATAAAAATTAGCAAGCAAAAACGGTTCGAGGGCAATGTAATCCCAGATAAGCGAGGGGATCGTGAGTGCACAACTGGCTTACCCATGACAAACTTTCCCAGAGCAATACCAGCAGCCGCTGTAAGGAAACGTTCTTTCCCACCAGTCAGTCGCTCCAATTCCTCCAACTTAGCCTGTGTCATCGCGCTGTACACGCCTCCACCCATCAAAGCAGACATCACTGATTCCGGATGCTCTTCTTCAGGAATTGTTGCTGTTGGCGTGCCACTACCAGCAGTGGTCACCACATAGCTCCCCCCGGAACCACCGCCAGCACAGAATACAGCTGTCAATGCTGTAATCAGGGGTGACTGTGGCGGGGGTGTAGATGAACGATGGTGGTGGGCGGAGGAGTCTCGGTGAGCGTGTGGTGTCATCGTGACGGCAGGGGAGGCGGAGTAACTACGATGGCGCGGAGCGATTCCGGAGGAATGCGCTGAGTGACTATGGCGACTGAGTACTGCTGAATTCGAAGGCGTCTGGGGGGAAAAAAGGTGTCCAGTGGTCACCAAACGCGCTAATTGGACATAGAGACCGGGATAGCGCACGAGCACTCTTTCAAGATCCAGTCGCGCAGCTATAAGAACGTCCACAACGTGAAATAGGAATTCGCGATCGGTGGCATCGTAAGCTCGTTGGTGAAGAGCCTAAAAACAGGATGAAGTTGACTGGCTCGCTCATTCAGCAAAAACAGCGCCTTTAATGAGGCAAAGTGAAAAAACTGAATTAACAATTGCGCGTTGATTAAACACACCTGGAAAAATTTAAGATAACAGTATGCACACGATGCTCTTTTGGGGATCCAGCATTCCCCTAGACGGCTCATCGTCATTGTCTACACAATTCCCCTAGCCCCGCTACTCCAGCGGGTGTGTCGCCCGCGGCACCCGACTAACAGCCCCATCTGTGCTAATCCACTTCATCTATCCGGTCAAGGTTATTCTTGACTTATATACGTGGGTGCATTCAGACAGATCACTCGGCCTTTGG